CTTGTACTCCATATCACTCAAACTTCTCTTTGTAACATCCTTAGAACATCGGCCTGGTTGATTGAATATGGACATAGGCGGATATAATGGATCATTCCTAAGGTCGACCGTGTGCCTGTTGGGCCTATTCCTAGCACATGCCACATTACTCTCAAAATAATAAGAACAAAAATGGGCAGTTTCCTTCGCAAGATAAGCTTCGCATATAGATCCTCCTATTCCTCTACTTAACAAATTGTTTGCATTTGCCAATTGTCCTACATAATTTCAGGTTAGCGAAGAAAATTTGTCTAAATTAAAACAGAAAATTACATCAAACCTAAAATATTACCTCTCAAAGGGATACATCCATCTGCATTGAACAGGCCCCCCAAGTCGTGCCTCGTGTACAAGGTGGATTGGAAGGTGTTTGTGACGACCCAATCCGTTGTCTCATGTATTACAGCCCCGTTTCCCCCATTTATTGCTCTTTCATGTTTTATTATCAGCAACGGGTGAGTTAGAGTTGAATTGAATTGGTTTGGATAGGAAATGAGACACTTAGTCCCTTTAAGGAAGGTTTGGATTGGAAAAGTCAACCGAACGTTGACTTATTAGTTAGAGGGCTCGGATGTGAATTCCGATGATTCGGTTAGCTTCGGGAGGTGATTTGTGACTTAGGAGTGCAATCAGAAGTGATTCTGGAGGTCCGGAGTGGAATTAGGCTTGAATTGGAAAAATTGGCATTTTGGCGAATTCCGGTGGATAGGTGAGATTTTGATCCGAGGGTCGGAATGGAATTCCGACAGTTGCAGTAGCTCCGTTAGGTGATTTTGGATATGTGTGCAAAATTTCAGGTCATTCGGAGGTGTTTTGGTCGGGTTTCTGATCGAATGCGTAATTCGGAAGTTTTTTTAAGAAACTTAGGCTTGAATTCGATGTGATTTGATGGTTTTAGCGTTGTTTGATGTGTTTTAAGGATGAGAACAAGTTTGAATGAGGTTTTAGGATGTATTGGAATTTTTGGTTGAGGTCCCGGGGGGCTCGGGGTGAATTCGGGTGGTTGAATGAGAGGTTTTAAGGTGTGTTGCAGGTCTGTTGCTGCTGTCATCCGGTATTTCCGCTTCTGCGGAAATGGACCGCAGAAGCGGTTCCGCAGAAGCGGGTGAGCGATCGCAGAAGCGTCCAGGTGTGGGTTAGGATAGTTCCGCATAAGCGGAAGTTGGTCGCTTCAGCGGGTCCGCATAAGTGGACATTGTACCGCAGAAGCGGTTTTGAGGGAACCGCAGAAGCGGAGTTCGAGTCGCATAAGCGAAGTCCGGGTTTTTAAGTGAAGACCGCATAAGCGGATTTTTGGCCGCATAAGCGGAAGCGGGACCGCATAAGCGAAAATCGTTGTTGACAGAAGGGTTTAAAATATTATATTTCATCCGCGAACAAGAGGCCACCATTTTTAAGCGACTTGGAGAGCTTTAGGCGAGGATTTTCGAGGGTTTTGACTGAGAATCAATTGGAGGTAAGTCTCTTGGCCTAATTATTCGAGTTCATGGTAGAAATTACATGTAAATTGTGGAAAATTCATCAAAAAACGGGTCAAGTTAGGGCTTGGAAAGCTGTGATGTAAAAATGGATTTTGAAAGGGCATTTGAACTCCGATTTTGGTAAAATTGGTATGTGTAGACTCGTGGCAAGACGAGGAATCCAGTGATGTAAATTTCGTAATTTTTCGAGAAGTAGGCCCGGGGCTCGGGTTTTGGCAACTTCGTGAATTTTGGTATTTTTCAAGTCTTTTCGATTGGGTTATGTTTCTTTAGCCTATTGTAATGTATTCGTTGTGGTTTTAATCAGATTCGGCGTGCGAAGAGGTTGATTCGAAAGGCAAAGGCATAGCGAGCTAGACTTGTGGCCGGCTTGAGGTGAGTAATAGATGTAGATGATGACCTGAGGGTTTGAAACCCCGGTATATCACATTGTGACGCTATATTGAGGCGAGACACTTACTCTATGACGAGTGCGGGGTCGATTGTGACTGGGAATTTTGACCTAGTCCATTTCGATGATGTTCGTACTGTGTTCTTGACTAGAAATTGTTTGGTAATCATCCTACTTGGATTTTATGAATATGTTCGGGGCTTTGTGCCTATCATTTGCACCCTTCAGGGATCCTTATCACTGCTTCCATGATGCTTAGCATATTTCATGATATCAGTCCTGAGTTAGACACTGCCTCGAAATGTTTAGTAAATAAATAAAGGTTTAAACACTTAGTTCTATAATTCCTAATAATTGAAACTAAAATGAAAAATTTGACTGTGCCCGAGTGGCTTGCATGCATATATATATCTGGACTAAGTGTGGATCGGGCTGCACGCCGCAGCGAATGCTACTATTTTATTTAGTTTCGGATTGGAACCTTGATATTTGCTATTTTAATCGTATTACTTGTTAACGGATTGCGTATTTGGGTTGAGAGTATTTAAATTGGTCGGGCTTGCCTGGCACTAGTGTTGGGCGCCATCACGACCGGGATTGGGGTCGTGACAAGTTGGTATCAGAGCCTAGGTTACTAGGCCTCGCGAGTCATGAGCCGGTTTAGTAGAGTCCCGCGGAACGGTACGGGGACGCCTGTACTTCTCCTCGAGAGGCTGCAGAACCTTTAGGAAAACTCCATATTCTTGAAATTCTTGTCGTGCGGCTTTGTGATTCGAGAACTAAATCTATGTATTCTATTCTCTCGCAGATGGCGAGAACTCGTGCTACCGGACGCGATGGTCGACCACCAGTACCACCCACTAGAGGCCGTGGACGCGGTCGTGGTCGTGGTCGAGGTAGGGCAGCAGAGACAGCACCAGCTGACCCACAAGCTGCCACAGTTCAGGACCAGACTCTAGCTGTCGATGTCCCAGCAGCACCTGTGCAGGCACCAGCAGTGCCTATTGCTATTCCTGGTCTCCAGGAGACCTTGGCACAGATACTATCAGTTTGTACTGGCCTGGCTCAGGCGGTCTCAGCTTCTACTGCAGCAGCTGCTTCCCAGGCTGGGGTAGGACATCAAACCCCTGTTGCTCACACACCTGAGCAGGTTGCCCAGGGATTTCAGACATCGGAAGCAGCCATAGCTCCTCCAGTTGCTCCAGTGGCTCCAGTTGCTCCAGTTGCACCAGTTGCACCAGCTCCAGCCTATGAGGTTCCAGCTATGCCGGACGATGAGCAGCGTCGTCTTGAGAGATTCGGCAGGCTTCAGCCTCCGAGGTTCAGCGGTGCTGAGGGCGAGGATGCCCAGGGTTTTCTGGATAAGTGTCACCGTATGCTTCGCACTGCAGGGATCTTAGAGTCGAGTGGTGTGGCTTTTACTACTTTCCAGTTCCCAGGGTCTGCATTCACCTGGTGGGAGGACTTCGAGAGGCGTAGGCCGGTTGGTGCAGTGCCCCTTACATGGCCGCAGTTCTCCACTCTCTTTCTGGAGAAGTACGTACCGCAGTCTCACAGGGAGGAGCTGCATCGTCAGTTTGAGTGGTTGGTTCAGGGGGACATGTCTGTGACCCAGTACGAGTTGAGATTCACGCAGCTAGCTCGGCATGCCACTTGGATGATGCCGATAGATCGGGAAAGGATTAGGAGGTTCGTGGATGGCCTCAACTATTCTCTCCGCATTTTGATGACCAGAGAGAGGGTTATGGGTGCCTCGTTTGAGGAGGTAGTTGACATGGCTCGAGAGATTGAGACGGTTCGCCGTCGGGAGCGTGAAGAGAGAGAGGCAAAGAGGCCTCGAGGTTCAGGTAATTTCAGTGGTGCTCCGTCTAGGGGCCAGTTCCAGCGTGGCAGAGGCCGTTCCTTCNGGCTCATATGAATATGAACCCATTCCATGCAATGCATTCACGCACTCCACTCTACCGGCATCTTCATTGGCATCCATGTTAAGAAGCACGGCTTCAAGAGGATCTTCAACATTGATCAAGGCACTTGTGTCATCCACTATCACCGCCGTGACAATGTCCACAAATGAACACACCTCCGTACTATTGGGTTGCCTCATTGATTTGCACACATGAAATACCACCTTCTCATCTCCCACGCGGAATGTTAACTCCCCTGCTTCCACATCAACCAATGCCTTCCCCGTAGCTAGGAAAGGTCTTCCAAGAATGATAAGCACTTCGAAATCCACTTCGCAATCCAATATGACAAAGTCGGCCGGCAATATGAATTTGTCCACCCGGACAAGCACATCATCGATTATACCTAGAGGCCTCTTCATCGACCGGTCCGCCATTTGAAGTCTCATGGAGGTTGGCCTAGGTTGCCCAATTCCCAAAGTTTTGAAGACTGAGTACGACATCAGATTAATGCTAGCCCCCAAGTCACATAGGGCCTTAGCAAATCAGTGCGGTTTGCGCTTGGAGACTCCTGAAATGGGTGCTCTCTGAATCTCCTAGCGCGGCCGCGCAACAAATCAGTGCGGTTTGCGCTAGGTCCTCCTGTCCCTACTTCAATGATTTTTGATGCTTGAGCACGTTTCACTCCGTTTCGAGCTGGTTCTTGACTTTCGTCATCTTGTCGCTCAAACCTGCAATCAAGCGCACTTTGTAAGCATTCTGAGTCTATTTCATGACAATTCATACATAAGGCATAGGCAAGTATGGGCATAAAACGTGTTAAAATCACAGTTATCAACTGCGAGCCCTGTGAGTGCGACATAGCTGTATGGGCCGCAAGTGGATGAGACACAGATAGCTGTGACCCGAGTGGCTGTGACACGGATGGCTGTGATCCATGTGGATGTGACATGGATCGATGCGATCCATGAGCTGTTGATGGATGCGATCTATGTGGATGTGAGACAGGTGGACTGTATGTAGGTCGTACAGTCCTATGGCCCTGTGAAGAAAGACCTGGTGTCTGCACGAAGGTGTAGGGCTGGACATGCGCTGACAGCTCAGAATAGCCCTGGGGTGGAGGCGCATGCATAGGCATAGGCACATGCATCTGTGAAGAGGCAGGAACGGATTGAGTAGTACCTTCTACCCTCCTCTTTTGTTCCTAGGCTTTTCTCTACCCTGAGAACCAGTAGGATCACTGTTACCTCGACCCTTGCCTGACATCTGCATGACATAATACAAAGTTAGATTGAAACATATAAAGAAACTAGCTATAACATGAGTTATTAAAGAAACCAACTTTTTAAAGCTGATCGACGTATAGTTCCTCGTCCGAGAATTCTTCTTCCTCACTAGTTTGAGCTTCATCAGTTGATTCTTCTTCCTCATTTTCTATAATTCTTACTTCATCCATATCAACTTCTTCCAATATGTGTTCAGGATGTTCCAAATCATTTTCTAAAACTTCGTCCACTATTTGGTGAACACTGGAGATATCGTTTTGATATGCAACATCTAACACATTCTCGACTTCTACCCTACCCACAGGCTTAGTTTTTATTACAACCCACCAATCAGCCTTATTCCGCCGCAATGGATAAGGAGCATAATACACTTGCCTAACATTATGTGCAACTATGAAAGGATCATAGCGATCATACTCCCTCGTATGATTAACCTCAATTATGTTGTATTGATTGTGTACTCTTGTACCTCTTGTTGGATGTGGGTCAAACCACTTGCATCTAGAGAGTATCAATTTCTTAATTGGCCAAAATTGATTTACACCATTATTTGGATCATTTACCTACAAATCGTTAAATAAATTCATAAGTTAGCATAACTTCCAAACATTGTTTACCTACATAGTGTTAGAATATTTTAAGGAGAAACTTACAAATTGTTTGAACCACGTATCAAATCTCGTATATACAGCATCATGGCCAAATTGACCCACAAAGTGACTGTGACACATCAAATATTTTTAGTAGTTGCATTGAGATGTAATCACAGTAATTTTTAGATTTTGATAACTACTAAATCAATACTTACTTGAGATATGGTACAACTTCAGGACAATTTAGCAACACGTGAAGTGTAGCTGACTTGTACTCCATATCACTCAAACTTCTCTTTATAACATCCTTAGAACATCGACCTGGTTGATTGAATATGGACATAGGCGGATATAATGGATCATTCCTAAGGTCGACCGTGTGCCTGTTGGGCCTATTCCTAGCACATGCCACATTACTCTCAATATAATAAGAACAAAAATGGGCAGTTTCCTTCGCAAGATAAACTTCGCATATAGATCCTTCAATCCTATTCCTCTGCTTAACAAATTGTTTGCATTTGCTAATTGTTCTACATAATTTCAGGTTAGCGAAGAAAATTTGTTTAAATTAAAACAGAAAATTACATCAAACCTAAAATATTACCTCTCAAAGGGATACATCCATCTGCATTGAACAAGCCCTCCAAGTCATGCCTCGTGTACAAGGTGGATTGGAAGGTGTTCCATCACATCAAAAAACCCACATGGAAATATCTTTTCCATCTTAGTAGAAGTTACACAAATATTTTGATCCATCCGTTGTAGGTTTTCTTCCCTTAATGTGGAAGAACACAAGTCTTTGAAAAACAAACTAATCTCTGTGATGGGTTTCCAGATTCGTTCAGGCAAACCAGAAAATGCAATAGGCACTAAGGTCTCCATGAAAACATGACAATCATGCCTTTTCAAATGGCTCAACTTCCCTACCTCCATATCAACTTTTTTCGCAAAATTCGACGCATAACCCTCAGGCATATTCAACTTCGTTACCCAATCACAAATCTGCCGTATTTCCTCCAAAGTGAATGTGTAACTTGCTTTGGGCTTGAACACCTTACCATTGTTTGCTGTCTGCAAGTATAAGTCAGGCCGCCTGCAATATTCTTGTAAGTCCATTCTAGCTTTTGCATTATCCTTTGTCTTACCTTTAACATCCATCACTGTGTTGAACAAATTGTCACAATAGTTCTTCTCAATATGCATGACATCAAGGTTATGACGGAGAAGATTATCCTTCCAATACGGCAACTCCCAAAATATACTCTGTTTCGTCAAATTATGAGTAATACCGTATCAGGGGAATCTATAAGGTGGAACTTCAGTAACTTTACTGAATTTCTGGACCCTCTCCCAAATTTCCTCACCTGAAAGTATCAGAGGTGGGAAATAACATTCGAATTATTCCTTTTGAATGCATTTTTCATCCTTCTAAACTCATGATCAGGAGGCAAGAATTGACGATGACAATCAAACCATGATTGCTTTCGGCCATATTTCAAAGTGAACGCTTTACTATTTTCCATGCAGTAAGGACAAGCTAGCTTACCAGCAGTGTCACGACCCCAGTTCACCCTCCATGAACATGTCGTGATGGCACCTAGTTCCTACAACTAGGTAAGCCTAACAGTGCGGAATAACAAATTAACATTTGCGGAATAATTAATTAAGACTGAACATACGGAAATAACAACTGTATATAAGGCCACTCGGCCTATACAACTCAAAAATATGCGGAAGTCTACAACTAAATTCCAAAACCCGGAAACTCACGGGAAAACACAGGCTAATAGAATATAGTAATCTGCTCTACACCAGAATGTCTAAACAACATGAAAG